ATGGAGGGGCTTAGTCCTAGTGTGGATAGTTTGTCCATCAGGGTTTGGGGGATCATGGTGTTGAAGGCGGATGTGAAGTCCACAAAGAGCATACGGACCAGTGACCAGTCCAGAGCCTTGTGGAACCTAAAAGTGACAGAAGACGTGCACAAGTCAAAATAGTGTCACAGTGACTACAAGTTACAATCTGTTGGTCTTTCTTCTGGAAAAAAAAAAACCATTTTATCAAAAACACGAGATTTACAATTGAAACTAAGTCAAGAAAATGTGACCTTTGCAAATATAAATAACAGTAGCTCAATTTTTCTTTATTTCACTTATCATATTTTATAATTATTTAATGAGCCTCACCAGGCAGAGATTACAAGATGTTATGTATCTTACCTGCTCTGTTGAAGTGTGTGACAAGGGTCTTTGTGTCCAAAGCTGTTTAACAGCTTGCTTCCAGAGCTAACAGCTTCCTGTGTTAGGTAGAACAATTAAATTAAATTAAAGACAAACAAAAAGCTTAGTGCTACTTCTTGTGCCATGCTTTATAAAACAGTTATTGAATCAAGTATTTACTTATGTAGGTAAACATAAATGTTTTAAAACATGTTAAAATACACCAGAATGCAGGAAATAGCAGCTACTTTATTAAAAAAGTTATGGGGGAGGACCCACAGACCTCGCACCAACATGTCCCCCCTACAATAAGTTATTATAATTTATATGTAACCAGCCTTTCATATAAAAACTGAGATATTTTTACCGGAGAATGCGTGCACTTTAACCAGGAAGAGTTCGGGGGTTATTTTACATTACAAACAGCAACAGATAATAAAGATTTTAACCTAAAAACCCACATAACAAAACAGCATAATTTTTTAATTAAAAGGGACAAGGTGGAGAAAAATGCGCTGTTTGAGTTTATTTACTGACGGTAAACAAAGTCTGACTCCCCGCAGATCCTCACAGCTGAGACTAAACGTTTAGATCAGCACAGCACCAACACAACTCTTATGAGTTCAGGGTTATTTGACACTTTCCTGCCTGTTCTGTGAGTTTAATAGACAGACAGTTACTTCTTACCTTGCGTTGCAAACTATTTTCAGTTACTCGGTACCGCTTCGCTCGCTGCTCCTCCCCCTCTCGGTGAAAAGCTACGGCTCGAACACTGGACTCCTGGGAAATGTAGTCCTTTTGACTTGTGTTAAAGTGAAGGCTTACTGAAAGAAAACTACAAAATAGCTGTGCCCCCTTTTTTTTTTTTTTTTGTTCTGTTTGTTTGTTTCATTTTCACTTTTGGTTATTGGTCGGTTCCTGCTCCTGTCTGCTCCCGTTAGCTTTCAGTCCGGTCATGTGAGTTATAATGAGGTTGACTCCGGTCTCGCCAGAATCCGGCCGGATTCACGTGACCGGCGTTACTCCCAAAAAAATGTCATGCTCCACTCCAGATGCAGGAAGAGGGCTACCTGCATCATGAAGGATCTCACTCACCCAGCACACACACTTTTTACCCCACTCCCCTCAGGAAGAAGGTTGAGAAGCA